AAAAAAAAAATATTTTTAAGATTTCATCAGCGTGCCGACAACATCGCAAGAAATATTCATGCCGATAGTGACATTCCCATCATCAACTCCATCCACTTATGATATATCTTCGCATGAAACTCAAACCATACAATCTGCAAATATCGGTGGTATACCAGCAGTAACAAATCAATCATTCATGTCAACAACGTCATCGTCTTCGTCACTTCGACTCGCTCCGGTTTTTGAGCCATCAAAAATAACAATTTTGGTAGAAGAAAATGAAGGTGACACAGAGTTAACAAAACTTCATGCATTTTACACTGATAATCTTCCCGGCACAGTAACTTATTTGATGAAGGCAGGAGATCCTAGATTTTTCAGGTTATTTTCTGAATATGCCGTTTTGACTTTAGTCTTTGAAAATTTAAATTTAGCCATTTTATTTAAATGATTTGTAATAACGTTTAGACGTTAAACAGTAAACTGTTTTAGCATTAGCAGTTTTACTGGTTCATTGATGTTGCTGCAACCATTAGATGCTGAAACAGACTCAACATTTGAATTGCAAATAAGTACTGCTGAGGTAGTTATCACGTGATCGTTTTCAGTTAATTATCTTTAACAGCTTAGACAGCAAAAATATATTCAACAGAAGCTAAGTATTCTTTTCCAAAACTTGAAATTGTAGGCAATGGTACTCGGCAAAGATCCATCTGCTGCTCATACAGCGTATGTCACAGTCAAAGTTGCTGATGTTAACGACTGGATTCCCAATTTTGAAACCAACAGCTACACGTTTACCACAAGTTCAGGAACACCACCTGGTACAATAATCGGTCAAGTAGTTGCTTTTGACCAGGACAGAGACGTATGTTAATAGTTGCGTTTAATTAGCAGAAAAGGAATTTTCTTTTTTTACTGCTCGTTGATAAATTGATTGTTGTGAATGATTTTGTCGAAAGAAGCATTTTTTTAACCGCATGAGATTTCAACGGTATGATATAGTATGATATACTTTTTTTTTTCTTTTAGGAGCCAAATAACAAAATTCACTATCGTTTGGTAAACAACGATGGGTTAGAGTCGTATTTCGCTGTTAACGCTGAAAATGGTTTAATCACACTTAAACGAGAGATTGATGCTTTTGTCAATGAGAGACTTACTGTGAGAGTTTGTCTAAACGCTCTGAATATTATGCAGAAGTGTCAATAACGAAAACTCTGCAGAGTCATAGTTTCATATTTGCGCCACAATTTTAGCTGCGAATAGAGGCTGATGATGGTGGGACACCGAAACAGTCAAGTCAAACGATTGTTCTAATAGACGTGGAACCGGCTGAAAGCGTAATTATACCAAAGAATCTGCATTCTTTTACGTCAGCCCCTGACAAAGACCAAATACAGTTCTCATTACGCAACTACACGTAAGAATTGAGCTCTAGAGTTAGTGATCACTGCAAGCAAAACGGCACACATTGACAGAAGCAGTAAAAAATTAATATTTAAAAAATTTTAGAGCATCGGTATCAGAGGCAGTTCGACCACCTCACCTAGTACAAATTTTGTCTGTAATCAACAAACCAGCTGATACACGATTTATTGTATGCGCCATTGCGTCAGGAAACTATCGGGGTGAAAAACTGAAACAGAATTGAATTCTAAATTTATCAAATTAAGAAGGGGCAACAGTATTACTGGCGTAGTTTGAATATGTTAACTTTTGATAGTTTTCCATCTTTCTGAGACTGTAATCATAAATTAAGCTTTTCAGGCGCATTTGGTATTTCAACTGGAGCTGATGGGAACTGTGAGCTAAGAACACAAATGGAATTGGACAGGGAAACGACGGAAAGGCATTTGCTAAACGTTACCGTATCGGCGGGTTCGCAAACTGATTTTGCTCTGGTTGGAATTACAGTTCTTGATGCTAACGACAATGTGCCCCGTTTTATCTACGACAATGATTTGGGCCTAGAAACCTATTTTGCTGGAATTGCCTCAAATGCTGGAGCGTTTACAAAAGTTATTACCGTTAAGGTTTATGCTTCCTTCTATCACTTAGGTATTATGAACTGGATAGTGTAAAGTTGATGATTCATTTGAACTTTGATTCAGGCAGAAGATGCTGACCTTGGTAATAGCAGCGTTATTATGTACAATCTTGACCCGTTGTCGGTAGATACCAAGTTTTTCTCAATAGGCCAATCTGGAGAAATAACAACAAAGATGAGCATGTCACAAGTGCTCCAGAAAAACCGGCAGTCTTACTTTGAAATTCGAGTAAGCATTTTAAGCAATGAAAATCTTAGTGCAGCAGCTTTTCTTAGTGGATAATCACCGTTATACGCAACATGTTCTTTGTTATTTGTAAAAATACAATTGGAATTAAAATTAGGGAAGAGAAGTCTTGTTGTTTATTGGAAATACACAATTATCAACATTCAGGCAACGGCATGCGACTCACCGATTACTGGGCAACAGTTGTGCTCTAAGGCTGATATTATAGTTAATGTAATTACGAATACACATCGGTTTGTGATGACCGTCAGCGGTATGCAGCCTCAAAAGTTGCGTGATCACGAACAAGTAATATATTGTGATATTACATAGTATAAAGAAAAAAAAAGCTTTTTGAGGCGAGGAACGGAAGATCAATTTAGTATTTTTAATTTTAGAGGTCGTTAGCTTTTTTTCACTCGCATTTTAGGATATCATAAAAGCGTTAAGGCAGTTTACCGGATCCTGTACTTTGTTGAGTGTCGAAAAAATGAATGAGCAAATAAGTGATACGCAACAGATGCAAACAGATGTTTACTGGTATGCTGTCAATCCATCAACTAAAAGAATTTGTAAGAAACATGAATTCAGGTAGGTTAAACTTTTTTTTTTGCACAACTTTTTAAATGGAAATAATGTTGAATAGTTCCTTTTGCCTTAATTATCAAGGTATTTTTAAGAAAATTGTTCGATAATTCTGCGATAGCAATGATTGCTGGTAAACTTCAACCCTGGTTAGCAATGGACAAGATCAGTGACGAGATTATGAGCGACTATGATGTGGTGGAGGAAAGCGGCTTATTTGGATCAAACTTCAAGTTCGCATCCATAGGTCTGTGTTACAACTTTTGTGTTGTGTCATTGATCGAAAAAATTTTTTTCCATTTGCAGCTAGCAAAAAGTTATTTAGATATTGTGGAAATATTAGTCATAAACAGTATAGTCATTTTTTAGCACTGATCGTTCTGGCTATCTTGATCGCTGTTGGAGCCTTGGCTGGAATATGCGGTATTTGTATATGTTATTCTCGATATAAAGTTAGTCAGCGGGCGGTACATGCGTACCCGAATATCTATCCGATGCCTAAATTTGGTACAATATTTTTACCAAATGGTCCTGCCAATGGTTCACATGATAAAATCTATGAAACTCAGGTACACCGAGTGTTATTACTGGGATATATTAGTGAGATATTACTTGAGCATATTTCTACACATAATAGACCATTTCAGCTGCAGAGCATTTAAATTTTTTTATATTATCTTTTTTTTCTCATGACTGTGGTTTTTCTCTTTTAAAAGGAAGACTGATGAATCTCAAGTTTAGATGCTTGAATTGCCGATCAGTGACGAAGACTTCACTGTAAAAGGTGGAAGTCATGAAACAGTGCGATCTACAAGACAGAGTAGTGGAAGACAAAACTATCGGAATTATGGGAGGCCAAGAACCGGTGGTGGGGATGAAGGAGATTTTTCAATAGAGGAGAGTATGTACGCAATTAATATGCCAGGTCGGATCGACCCAGTCTCAAAGTATGCACGTTATTGGCTTCCTTAGGTGGAGGGTTTAAATAAGGGCCTTTACGTATTTGAACAATTTTTCAGTAGTTATCTTAAGGAATTTAGTTTGAAGGAAAAAAGAGGACTTTGTTGAGATTGTTACGCGGTTTAAATTCTCAGTTAAAGGGTGTGGTTAGAAACTGTGTAAGCGGCTCTTTTGAATTGAACTGTGATCGTGATGTGCACGCTGATAATGGTTTTCTTCTTTAAGAACTTTTAAGGCCCTTATTCTATAAGTGATATGCTCTCTTCTGTCTTGCGCATTTTATTGTTGCTTTATTTATTTTCTGTATTTCTTAAGCAACACATTAAGACAAATTGCACGTTAAAGAATGTATTTATGAGGACTGAAGTGGACTGTCTTTTTTTTGCTTCTTTTGTTTTGCGCACGATTATTTGGGAAACGATTTACAGCTACAGTTTATTGAAGGCTGTCTCAGAACGGGATGGATGCATTGATTTCACCTGACTACTGAAATTGCACTGATGATAGCGAAATATTAGAGTGCCTACATTTTGTATTACAATTGTAAAAATCACTTTATTAGGAGCAACTTCTAGTTAAAAAAATTTTTTTGAAATTTTTTTGGCAGTACTTGAAAAAAACAAAATTTTTTGTCTGATGGCACACAAAAGAATGAAAAAATTACGCATGTAAACGAAGCATTGCACGGCATTATGCATCTCACTGCTGTGTTTCGATGTTCAATTTTTTCCGCCTTGCTTTTTTTTTTGTTTCTTTTCTTTTCGTTTTTTTTATTGATCTATTATGTAGCGATTAGCAGATCGGGTTTTTATCGTTAAACTGCGATCAGTTCTTTTGAAAAAAAACGTTTGTTTTTTTGAGACAGTTATACCGATTTCACTGTTTGTTTGTCGGTATAGTGCAAAGACATTGTTGGCCAAAACTGGCTTAGTTAGAAGGTAGATATTCTCAATTGATCATGTTTAAGCTCATTTTTGTGAGCTTTGCACTTCTGCTGTTTCAGATGACAGACAAGAGATGTGTGACGACTGATTCAATACGTTACATTGTACATTTAAGTAGACTACTAGAAGTAGTTAGGATTTTAGGGTGTATTGGAATATGATTATACTGGAGGATCAATTTTTTATTTGGATTTCAATCTATTTAAATTGTAAATGAGTGTTTTACTGACAAAAAAAAGGAAGCGTAATACTGTTTAATCAGGAATATTTTGGTTGTTTACTGAAGAACATCTAGCATTAAGAATTGTTTTACTTTTTTTAGGCGAATTCAGACGCTCGTGATTCCGGCTCCAGATTATCCAGTGAACCAAAAGAAAAGCATGCTTTGATAAAGCGCTGATTCACTGTTATATGCACCATCATCATTAATGTAATTCCTCTGTTAGTTTTTCGTTGCTGATGTCTTGTTACTTAACTGTAGTAGAAAAACTACGAAGACAAAGAAAAATTGGCTGCTCTTGTAATGTTTTTCCAATAGTTTTTTTGTTATAACATTTAGGTACAACATAAAATCTACGATTAGAAGAAGAAATTATTCTTCACTACTTCTCCCCTCGCCGTTCCTTCCCTCATTCCGCCTTTCCGCCTATCTCCCTTGTTCCACCATTTTCAGCAAACGGAGTAGATAAAAAGATTTGATTTTTGAGCAGTTATAAGAATGAAAACGATACTTATAATATTAATAATAATCCGATTAATATTAATAGCAATAACAGTATTAATAATAGGAATAACAGTAATAATAACAGTAGTAATAATAATGTCAATCAGTAACCGTTGAAGTCAAAAAACAAAATAGAAAAATTTTTTATTCTTCTCCCATTTTTTTTTTTTTTTCTTTTTTTTGGTGTTTTATTGTCTTAACGCGGGATTCTGAAGATTCATTTTTCAATTCGATTTTCTCTGATTGTTTGTTTGTTTGTTTTTATAAGTAATTTATTTGTTTACTTTCCCACTATTCTTTTCTTTGATGTTCAATTTTACAACCAGCATCAATTTATTTTTGGCATGTCTGCATTCTAATCTTCCATCACTGGGAGAAATTGAAACTTATAAGCAGAACAAAACAAAAAAATGTATAAAGCTTTGATGTTGAAAGCGTACTTTCCTTATTATTATTATTATTCTTTTTTTTGCGGGTAATTGTGATTGTTATTTTCTGTGTTTAATATTGTAATGCTAATGATTTTTCATCTTTTTATAATTATTATTAGTTGTTATGTTCAATTTGACATTCAGACAACTTTTTTTTTCCGTTATATCTTTTTCCTAAACTCTTATGTATGTGTATATTGGTAACCATTGCCGGACTTTCATTGTCATCGTTGTATTAATTATTGAGTTGCCATTTTGCTGCCATTCACTGTAATTTGTTGAACAATCATTGTACAGTCATCACTTCTATACTCAGAATTATTTGGTGATTTCCAAAATGGCTTCGCCTTTAGCAAGTTTACCGTTACTTAGCTTTGTTCAGGAAGGGTGAATTATCTGGTGATTTCCAAAGTGGCTTCGCTTTCAGCGAATTTACTCTTACTTAGCTTTGTTCAGGAAGGGTGGAGGTACATTGAAAGTTGGAAAAGGCAAATTTGTGCTGTCACGCTTTTGTTCTCGTTCACAGTCAATTGTTTCAGACATGTAACCTGTTGGATCAGCTGCCGACAGGTTTAGAGTCAAGTTTTTATTTGTAAAATGAGCATAAATTGAGGGTTGATGTTCTGATTTTTTAAGACTGAAAACAAAGACTACAGACAAGAAGTAACGGCAAATGTTGTATGCAACAAAAATTTTGCTCGATGAAATCTATTATCGCTTCGTTGTACTTAATGATTGTTGAACGGAGGAGCAAAGTGAAATTCTGGTGTTCTTTGCTATACTCGTTGGTTAGGGTCCAGAAGGAAAAGTAGGTAAGGTGCTGTAGACAGTTTTAAGAAAAACAAAAACAAGATATAAACCAGTGAACTTACAAGCTACTTTTAGTCTTCAGACAAAAAGATAAGAGAAAGAGAGGACCTTAATGCGTTTTTACTGTATTTCATGTTTGAGCTCCTTTACGTTTTTACTCTTACTGTTTTTTTTAACTGATGATAGTTTGTCCACCTTTACATTTTAGTTTTTCTCCTCTTGCAAATTTGTAAACTAAAGCTAATGTGGTCTTCTTACTTGTATTCCTCAAGTGCTGCTTGTTAATTTCTTTCCAATAAATAAATTGTTTCAGTTGTTGCTGCGAGTCAAAATAAGCGAAGGCATGCCGAAAATTGGCCTATAAAATGTTAATCATTTTTTGGTATTTAGTGTTGAACAAGCATTAAAAGCTTTCTTTTGATCTGAGTAAAAGCAACTGAAGGTCTGCCAAAAACGAATAAATCAAAGAGAAACTTATATGATTACCTTTGTGGGGCAGGACAGTGTTAACATTGGTTTGTTTTAGTTTCCAGGGTGTAGTTCTCAAATTTTTTGAGAATAAGGGGTTGTAGTCTATTACGCTAGTCTACTCATCGAGAAAAATGGGGATTATAAGTAAGTCCTACTGCCACCCAACTGCTGAGGGAAAAAGAGCGTCAGAAACTTTCACAACCTATTAACAGCGCTCTACGTTTATGTTTTTGATATCTCTTATCAGTTCAAATCACACATTGACGATCCAGGACGCGTAGCATTTACTGGTTTCATGAACCTCTTTGGCATTACACAGAGGAATTTAAAGCTGAGAAAAGGACCTGATGAATCTGAGGTTTCGTAACTGGGATTAGTTGCACTATAACTGCTTAAGTGGTCATTCCTAATGTCACATCAGTAGTGTGATTACCATTGCAAACGTAAAAAAAAAAATAAAGCAAACAATACATTTATGTAGAGATCATTCAGACAGCTAAATAGCCTGAAGATCAAATGCAACAAATTTATCAAATTAATTAATAACC